AATGGATTCCTCTCCAGCCCAACTGCACACATTCTGATGGGAACAATGTTACCTTTGGTGCTGGCAAGATGGAGTCAGGTTCAGGCTTTGTAATCTCACTGTCATTACTGCCAGTGTTACTAACTGAAAACAATTTACAATACATAACAGCAGCAGATAACAAAGTAAACATGAAGAAGACTGTGGAAAAGTAGAAATTTGTAGCAGTTGAAACATTTTAATTTTTATCGTATGCCAACAGCATATTTATGTGGGGCTACAGGCCAGATTTTAAATTTCAGGTTAACATTTCAGCAGCATGCTAGAACAATGCATTTCAACTGTAAGCCACAGCACATGGTCAATACAGGTTAAAGGGCACTCAATGTTTAAAGAAACATTTAGATCTTCAACAAAGTGCAAGTACATTTTAATAATAGATTATTTTGCATATTGGCATACTAATTAAAAATAACAAAATTTCACTACTTATTCACTTACTGACAGTCTCTCCCAAACTTTTGCAACCACCAGATAGTGGTCAGTATCACATCCAGCTTCTTTACATCTGAATGCTGCTTCTACCAATACATGATAGAAAGGATACAACCAAGTGTTACTGCAAAGTCAGAACATTTTACACTTGGCAACAAGATGTCTCTAACATGACTAAGCTCACTAATCTGACCCCACAGTCATAAATAGTTTCATGTAAACTTTCATACTCTGGAACTAAGACAACTGACTGACAACTTACTCTAGTCCCTCATAAAAGCCATACCATGCATAATCATCTTAGTGTCAGTTGGGGCATGTGCATTGACAATAATATTACACCAATGACCTCTTATTTTATACCACCAATAAACTCTACCCTCTTAATCACTGATATGATTCCCTTACGGACAAGACATTAGAACATTAACAAATTTAGACAGCAAAAGGTGTACATAAAATTCACATTCCAACAAGTCACCATTACACTACCTGGAACGTTTGAAGTTGAAGATGTATCTCCATTTTTGCCTGAGTCTTGGCTGTTTAGCACAGTGTATTTATTCTTTAAGTCACTGATCACATTTGCCAAGCTGTCACCAATTGGTTCAAATTCAATTTGAGTTAAAAGAACACGTGCTGTCGAACATTCAAGTCGTTTATCTAAACTAATGTCTTCGGGGCCTTGACTGGCTGTCAAAGACAAGCGTAGGGCCGCAGTCACAGGATCTCCGCCAGACGCAGGCATTTTATTAAACAGTGCAGATTTCTGTTACGTACCAGACATTAATAAAACAACTTACAGCACAAATGAATGTGAATTAATTCAAACAGTGCTGCAGTTCTCCATTTCGTTTCACACACACTACAGCTTGTTTTCATAACATCTTTAAGGAATAGCATCCTACACTCTCTGATCAAGCACAGAATGCCCAGGAACATGCAGTGAGTTATACTACAGTTTCCGAACACGGATTCATATATACTTCAGGTAATACACGCACTATATTACATATTGCATCTACTACATAACCATCATACACTAGACAGCCATGATTGCACACACACACTTCTATAACACCTGCAACTGGTAAAATGACTCTCTGTATACTGACTGACCATGTGATGTACGTTAACTTCGAAACTTCATACACCATAAATACGTCCGATATTCAGAATAGGTGTAATAAGAGTCAGAAAAGTGACCTACACCGGCATGGTGATCGACATAACCACACATGCCGCTAACCGTTTCCGGTAAATTCTGCCATTAAGCACTTCATTGACTTATTTTTGGACGATGTTACAGTGTAAATTAAGCGACAACGCCTTTCTAATCATATTCATTCAATTACAGCATGTAATTCAACTAACTGTAAGTCTTTAAGTAATTTGGAGGATTAATTTACATAAAAAGTGTTCGAACATTAACATAGAACTTATTTTGGTCAAGATTGTTCATTGATATGCCCATGCGTAGGATCATGGTACTTGGATAGGCAGTGGCGCATTGTGATAGGCACTTAGAAATTATTGTTCTGTTCCTTTGCTCTCTGGTCTACAATTCAGGGTTCAGCTCTGCAGCAGATCCATGCTATAGGTTAATTGTGCTATAGTAGATGTGTATATCAGTTATTCTAAGACTCTGTATTAACGGCAGGGGAACTTTGATACCGATGATTTCCTTATTACACATTCTTTGCACCATGTTCATGAAATTAACTCACATAGAGTTGGTCATATCTGTGTCCGCATGATCCACTCTAGATCCTCTGGACGTATTTCCATTATATTTGGCGTGGACGTTACGCCAAAGGGGACGACCCAAAGTTCTACTTCACCATTTACTGTAATCAGCAGCACCAACATGACCGACAAACACGAGGACCAAACAATGCTTTGCAAAACTTCGGAAAAGTAATTTATTTTATGTAAAATTTCAATTTTGGTAGTGATGGTCACAGTCAGTTATTTAGTGAGATTTCGGGTTATTTAGGGCTGTTGCACAGGTTTTCCTGTTTCAGAGATACTTGCTGCCTCCACCATCACCTTGTTGATGGAGGCAGCAAGCACCTCTGAAATGTCAGTAAACTTCTACAAGACCAATGGCAAAACAACCCAGAAGATTATTGACTATGTATTTGGTAGGAGGATGTAACTAATTTATATTGCAATAATGTTCCCCAATTCCACCTTAATGCTTTTACTGTTACTAGAGCAGAGCGCTCCTTTCGGAGCTCCTCGGGGGGGGGGGGTCAAGTTTGTAAAACGCAACCAACCTTGTGTAAGAAACAAAACTGGTTGCGTTTTAAAATATTGAGGAAGACACTAAACTAACCCCAACAACAATGCCGAGTATAAAGAAATATAAGTTGACATTGTTGATGACATCATTTTTTGACGACGAGGAATCTCAAATTTTTATAGTAGATAGAAACATCAGGGTTAATAGATAATATACCTTTATATAGCTAATGAATTATTTAGTACTTTTCATTCAGATGTTTAGTAATCAAATTATTGCAAGTAATTTTAAGCAAAAGCTCAATCTAATATGAATTCTACACTTGAACATGTCTTTGTTACTAAAACATGATACAAAACAAATACTCCTTCATTTAAGCTTGTCAGAATGCTCTTTTCACAGCACAGATATTATTTGCAAATTTGTAACTACTGGCTAAAGAAGACATTTAGGCAAGAATTTATGAAGTGCACTTTTCTTCAGGTTTTAGTCCAGATTGTAATGCTAGCAAGAACTATACATAAGCAACTGCACAATTTGTAAAAATTTATACCTTGTAGTAACCCATTCCTGCACACAGTTTCTGGAAGAACAAATTTGAACTTCGATGCATCTGTTAGATTTGAGGTTCCCAGTCGGTGCAACAGTAACCCAGAAGAATATCAACATACAACATATCTGCCTAACATACCCTCATAATTTCACAGCATCATTATCAGTACAAGTGTTTACATAAACTTTGATACAGATTTCATACGCATGTTTATGATATATTTCCTTACAACATTTTATGTACCTGGCTAAAATGGTTTAACAGTCATCACCATAAAACTAGAATTATATAAGTTCCACAAAACCACTGGAAAAGTCTTTAACATTCTAACCTCCTCACCCCAAATCCATAATAAAAGCTCAGTAGTTTTATTCAGGTTTGTATATTAAAGTGATAAGTGATACTAGAGTCTTTACCACCTTAAAAGTTAGTACAGCCTCCATGCTGATAATAATAACAGGAAATTGATATGTACAAATTTGGTATGGCTTCTAGTACCATTAATGTTGATAGGAAGTTTCAAGAAAATGATCAGTAATTGTATTTACTTACCTACTAATAATTACACATAAAAATAAAAGGCATATATTTACCTGCAGTTTCTTAAATGCTTACATTTTGTTACTCACAGCATAATTCACATACTCTGTCTTTAACTGTCACAAAACCAAGGATATTGGCATCTTGAATCCTCAGTATTAAAATCGTTGGTTATAAAAATGTTTAGTAATGACTGAAATTGTAACTTCCATAAGACATTTACACTCTTCATGAGGTCACTGTATACATGTGAAGAACATAACCATCTGCCACTTGTGGGAAGTATGTATATACCAGTATGTAATGGAGATACACCTATTCATCATCTTTCGCAGATTAGGTCCTTTGCTTGTTCAAAATAAAATTAATACTGAACAATGAGTTATCCTTACACAATCACAAATAATAAATTGAATCCTTTTCTGCCTCTTCTTTTCCATAGTGATTTCCATCATGCTAGTGACTAGTGACTATTTCATTGATATAGCAAGGAATGCCAGTCACCAAGTAATCTTATAATCAATGATGTCCTTAACATTATATAAGCATAGCACACAATCAAAAACATTTGCCAGAGCCCATATTTAAGGGCAGCTGTTTGCTCCACTCTTCATATGATGCTTCTTTATCAAGTTAAAAGTCACAACCTCAAGAACGACCTTTACTCTGAGCTCCATTCCAGTACGGGTGTTTCTCATTAACACACCAATAAGCATATGGGGCATAATTTATAAAAATGTAGCTACAAATTTCCTATTATACAATTTTGGGAACATTTGCAATAATAGGTTTTGGTCTATCACTAAATATAAGTTTCTTCTTAACTATAGCTTTTACATGAAACTCTACTGTGTTCTGTACTACAGATGGTTCAAAGGTTTCACTGCCTTCACTCTCTGGATTCTGCTTCTGTTCCAGAATGGCAAATGGTTTATCCATTGTTATCACCTCACCATGTAGAATATGATGACCAATTATTAATACAGGTTTCCCCTGCAACAAAACAATTTTTCCACTTCTTTAGTATCATTGCATACTACAACAGTGCATGAAAGAAAGAGTACAGCATATTTACATCAAGGAGGTTATAATGGGCTCAGATGGTGAGGAAATGGAGAACATTTTGGTGAGGAAATCTCTTGGAAAGCAGCCACTTGGAATTTAAATAAGAAATGGGTGGGAAAACATAACATGGTTTAAGAAGATATGATGTGAGGCTGACAGTTGGATGGAACTAGCTCCAGATCATATCTAATGGCAGACTTCAAGGACAATATTTAAAGCAATCTAAGCATCACACCCAGAGGGCAAATTGGGGATGTGCACTCTCTTGGACTACCTGAACACTGAAAGTGTAGGTTGAAATCCTACTTGAAGCACAGATTACATCCATATTTCTCTATTTTGTTCAGTGCTGTGTAGGTAGAGGCCTTGTGATGGGCCTATCTCCTGTCAAAGGAGTCCTACCAAATGTCTGAAAGGATTCAGAATTAGAAGAGGTAACAGGGCATAATCTGTATAAAGTTGAAGAACATGAGCCATAAAATAAATTAAAAATAATAAACCTGAACACCATATTATCATTGTAACAAAAGTCATTTTCAAGTTTAGCCACAATCTGTCAATGGATTAAAAAAATACATGCAACTATAAAAATGGCTTTATAAAATCTACAGTAGGGCTACAAAACAAAGTTTCATCTAAATCATTCCCATACGTTGCACATTGTTACTAGTAGATGGACAGACATGACAAATATAATTGAAATATTTAAACAAATCTAAAACTTGTGTTTAAAATAGCATGTGTTCAGTGGAGCACTCCTTAAAGTTTGAAAGGATTCAGATTGAAACTTATATTATCTTCATTAGTCCTATTTGTTCAAGAATGTGGCCCTATTTCAATTGAAAATTCTACAAAGATGTGACATAAGAAGACAAACAGCAAGGAAGCATATAATAGTTTCAATATTTGTAATATTGTAAACAAAGACATCAGTGTGAGATTTAGATTATAGCAGACTTTTGTGCCATGCAATCTTACTCATCACCCTGATGACAAAAGCTGCAAGCATCTCTGAAACATCACTAACATCTACCAGACTACATGGTGCAACATCCTGGAAGACAGTCTTCTGTAAAGACATTAGTGATTAAATGAGATAAACATTATTCTCCTTGTATAGGACAGAACTGTGTCTGGCATTTTAATCTGACAGAAAAAAATATTTAAGTAGAAGCAGTCAAGGGTTTCTACTGTAATTAACAACTGTATTCACAAATGTTATACTACAACCTTGAGTTAAGAATAATGACAAAGTCTGATTAAGTATCTATTTCTTTTTGCCTTCGATTAAAGTGCAGAGTACAGATCTGGTACCACCAACATGACATACTGTGGCCTTTCCTGGTTTGGTTTGGTTCAATTTTGATGTTATGTCACATTAGGTGTTACCTTCATTTAGGGAGTACCAAATTGTATTCTACACTTTTACCACTTTTCCTGGGACAATGCTGCCAAAATCAAAGTGGCATGGAAACCAAAAAGAATATAAACCAGACCATTACTGTATTCATGCTTCAGGCATGGATGATATTCGAGAACCTGCAAACTATCCGCAGCTTTAGAACCGTATATCATTTATATTCAAAGAATAATCTACAACACATACAAAACCTTATTTGTGTAATGAAGGTCACCAATGAACTGCTGGTGCATGCTACTATCGTTTCTTGACTCTAGATCGCCCTGCAATTCCACTATTGCCCATTCTCCAACATATGCATCATTCGGTCTGAAAAAATTAATACTTTTGAATCCATAAACAACCTAGTCTAAAAGAACTTCACATAACTCCTTCACCGAACACATTCCTAGTCAATCATCTCACGGACATAGTTCCCTATTAGAAAATTAAATATTCTGTATTTTATTACTGGGTTCAAGAAATCGCAAAATTTTATGCCTGAAAATGTCCTAACCTACTTTATGAACTTAAATAGTATACTTCATTTACATTTTCACGAATATAGACATGTTGCTTGATTATTCAAACTCAATGCTGATGCACTGTAACAACACGCAAGTCTTGGATCATAACCTTAAAATTCCTTACATCGCGCCAAATTGTGTAAGCGATAAATCACAGATAACCAAAGCTAAACCACGGAGTACATAGAAGTGCTTGCACGACGCGATCGCGTATTTGTTCGGAAGATGAAAAGTGCATTACGATTATTATAGAAATACTTCCATTACACACCGTGCATTACGAACTCACGTTTATTAAAACCAATTATGCAAGGAAATCAGAAAATTAATAAAGTTGTTGAAATAAAAAAAACATTTCACTTCTTCTCCCTGGTCCGAAAGAGATGACAAACTTTGAACTGCCACGAAAAACCTACAGAGGAATTCATTGTAAACGGTCAGTAAAGAAAATTATTGAATGACGAAAGAAGAGGCATTATAGCATTATATATACACACCGTGCTCTTATAACTTCAAATTATTAATTCGTGCTTGATAAGGACAGTATTACAATAACTAAAGTGGTTATTGGATTTTACAGAATGTTTGTCGAATAACAAACAATGGGTTATCGTCAGAATAATGATTTTAGAAGTTATTAACACTTTAGCATAAGTGAAACCCTCCTTATGGGCCGACGAAGTGCTGCTACCTGTCTGTGGTCTTACAAACTACATTTCCAGCCATTTGACTCGGGGAAGGATGAACAGATTTTCATGAGATTCGGCATTGATCACTGAAAGTTATTCCACAATATTTTTTTTATTTCTTGTAAATTGTAATACCGATCTGACGGATGTCGAAAGTCGTGGTGTGGGGCGATGATGACACGATTATATATGATGCACAAACATACACACCCACAAGCACGCGTACAGCCTGCTCTTTTCTCTTCCAATTCTGAAGTTCTTGTAATTTTGTTTGTAAACTACTTATCTAATAATGAGTTTTATATCCACATGTTGGGTTGCACATTTTGTAGTGTATCTGTTGTGTATGTGTCCGTTCATAGTGAATGCTAGTAGATACATGTTAAACTATCTAAAATGACAAATATGGATGTTGCCAACTCCTAGCATGCACAATAAATGTAAGACGGAACATCTGTTGTACAGAAAAGGGGCGAATTATAATGGTTTAGTATTTATTACAATTATAGACTAATTTTTATAAACGGCAAATCATCCTGATGTACTACGATTATGACCCTCGAAATTTATGTGAAATCTGACGTGAATGCTACTGATAATCACAGTGCATAATATATTTATCATATCAGATAATCTTTCGATTCATAATATAGCATTACTGTTTAGGTTCTATTTATAAACCGAAGGAGTAAGAGACACTCATACTCTCAGATCATTCCGGAACCTAGACATCATTAATTCTTCCAGAACCGTTACACCTCTTAAAAACATAACAGCAGGATGTATGGGCATTGTTAATTATGAAACCGGATCAGATATAACTAGGTGTACATAGCCTTCTTCACGCGTGGAATGGCCTTGCTAAGAAGCTAATTCAGGATCTGGCAAAAACTATTTCTGAATCCTCTCCAAAAATTATATATCCTATAAAACGCGGCAAGAACAGAAATCACCATCGCTATCGTCGCAGGCAGCCGATGTGTTTATGTTAGAGTAAACATTTCATCTTCAGTGTAAAAGAAAAAAAATAGAATAACCTCTGTCCTTTTCCAACTTGGTCGATGTCGCGTACAGTCTGTGGTTCACAGTATCTTAAATGCAGAGATTTCCACCGACTCCAAATCAAAAATGATAAATTAATAGAAAATTAATAATTCCCCCTGTTCACAATGTTCTTCTATACTCACATTTTTTCATTAGGTAGGAGAATGGGTTACGCCCAGAACCGGTAAGGACGTAGTTTCGGACAATATAATCCATGACACTACCGAGATCTGAACCCCGGTCTGAGCTCTCAAAAAGTCACGAAACTAACATAGCTCATGATGTTTTATGGCACACTTTTGATTAAACTTCACACGATGTCAGGTACATAAATATTTTAAATGAAAACCAGTAGCAGACGCGTCGCGGATCCCAGACATTATCACCTGTTGGCCTTGCCCACGGCGGCCTGGAGTTCCCATCGCGACCGAAGGACCGGTCGCTTCGTGATCGCATCATAATTTGGTAACCGGACTCTGATTTTCTCCTGGAGATGATGTCATGTAGGATGTGAAATTGACCTCGAGTTCACCAATAAACTCGAATTAATTTTATGATCCGTTTAATGTTAGTCATTCTTAATCTTCAAAGCATTTAAAGTACTTGCTATGAATGATCGGGCAGCAATATGTTTTTGGATAGTGTTCTATTTTATAATTATACACTATTTTGTGAGATTTGAGATTCACACCGCGGTGGCGATGTCCACGATGGTCGTCTGGATAGTAACGCCGTGTGGACATTTCCCCCTGGTAATGTTTCTCCTAAACGTTGGTATATACTTATAATTCCACAGGACGATACTATCAAGAAAACCAACATCGAAAATTGATCCTGCAAAGTAGCAGAAAGGAAAGCGTTTGGAAAATTTGTGTGCTCCACAGTATTGCTTATTTGTGGTCTTGCTTTTTGTTTCGTCTTCGTTTCTAAACTGCCACCGGGTAAAAACCCATTTGCAGTCAATAATAAATAATAATAATAATATTAAAATATCTGTGTCACGCTGACAAGCACAGTGCTAGATGAAGTGCATCCTTGTCAGTATCTGCATAATCAAGAACTTTCTTTAAATACGTACTCAGACGGACATTCGTGTCTTAGGATGGCTGTAATACAATCATGGACCGAACTGGTATTAAGTTGATAGTTAAAGAATCTCAACTAGAAACGGGCTTAAACATTCTTCTGCTCTTCACCTCAACTCAACGAGTGTGTCATCGCATAATATTGTATTTTGTCTTCGTTCCCATTCTTCTTAACGCCTCCCTATCTCTCGGTGTAGTGATATAAACCGTTTGTTCAACTTTCTAACTTCATAAAATTAGCGGCTTATTCTGCTACATGAAAACAAGGCCATGCCTCTGGGGCATTCGTCTAACTCGCTTTACGACCTTAGGGAATCCCTACTCGTGTACCTGTGTGGGGTTCCCCCAATTAGATCCATTCGCTGTTCACAACCGAAAGCTGCTCGCTTAACTGTCAGTTCATGAACTGCATCTTCGTTGCGGTTTCCAGAATGACAGAAGCATTTCTTCAGTACAACGGAACACAAACGCATAATTTGCTGCAGATATATCTCACTTTCCCACAAGTAGTACTGTGCTTATGAAACATTATGTAATGGAATGTATAGGGGTTCGTTATAGCGGCATAGTTCTGTATTTTGCAACAATTATAATATATCAAATCTAAAACTTCTTGAAGATGGTGAAGAGTCTTTTGAATAAAAATTTTCTTGGATACTATCCATCGTCTAGTAAAATATAAAACGTAAAATGACGTTTCGGAGATGAGGCTGAAGACGGAGATAGAGCCCCATATCCGAAACGTCGTTTTACGTTTTATATTTTACTAGACGATGGATAATATCCAAGAAAAACTTTATTCAAAAAACAATTATAGCAATTACAATTTTCGAATAACGTATTTACAACGAAGAAATTAAAAAGTACAATCTTATTAATATCAAAGAAACTAGCTTATAGTCATTAACGTATAGAATATATTCTCAGAATAGCAGCAAAATAAATATTTTGAGAGAATTCTTACAAAACGAGACGAAATTGAGCATTAGTGGGGTCGACGTTCGTCAAACTGCTGAAATGCGTCCAGGTGAAATAAATGCCGGAATAGATTCTGAGTAGTTCAGTTGCCCAGTTGCTAAGAAAATGTGACATACAGATGGACGGAATCTTAAGATTCTATTTGCTAGAGCACGAAGAACACATAATAAACTAAACACTCCACTATATACAAAATTGATTGCGTTTTGAAGTTCATCACCATCTCTTCACGATAAGCGTTATGTCTCCTGCTAGTCGTTTCAGACAGCAAGTCGAAGGTCGTTATCCTCTTACGTGAATGAGCCTTAATATGGACTACAGTGATGACGGTTCAAATTATAGGCCTGTCTATTGTTTGTTTGTTACATCATGGTACAAATAAAACGTCATTCTGGAAAGACCTGTGTTCGTCCCGAATTTTCTGTTATTTATCATTCTCAAATACGCATAAGAGAAACGCGAATAGAAAGTAAATATGAGCCAAGCTGAGGACACAAACGTTCTACCACGCAGTTGACTTTACAGCATTAACCGTGGACTACAAGTTAACGCGCGTTTAATCGCACAACGTATGTGAATCTGGCAACTAAGCTGTCAGCACGTCTGATACAAGGTTTGTACATTAAATTTAAAATACCTTATCAAAATACACTGAACAAACAACCGTATATGACTGACTATTGAAAATGAGCGACGTCCTAACCGAATCTCACCAGGCGTATTTGCATGAAGGTCAGATTTTGAAGGGTCCCGGTTCGAATACAGAGTGAGGAGAAACTTCAGCTTTTCCTCCGTTAACGAAAACTTTAGCTAATGCTGTAAAATAGGTCACGGCTTAGTCTGTCTGTACTTTCCTAGCAATCATCCTGTAAGCCTACTATGTTTCGACTGATACTTTATCTGTTGCCGAAAGAGCACAGACAGGGCAGACCTGCATATATGGGCCTATGCACATCGCTGTGAAAACCCAAAATCATACAAGTACCTTAATTCGTCGATACACTACACTGCAGATATTAAAAGACGTTATATCAACCGTCAGTTATTGGTATATTTAATATACTATAATGAACACTGGAAGAAACAGATTTATGAATATTTCATGTAAAAGTAGGTTATATTAGGCATTAAAATTAGTAGACCGTAAATAGTTTTTTGGTTAAAACATGGCTTTTACTTGCTTTGGACGATTTTTATTGGAAATGGCTTAAACCTAGCTCTTGCTTCCGTCACAAATTGTAAAAAATGCGACTTACATAAATCTTTATTTTTATTCAACAAAGTCTCCATTTAAATTTGAATTATGCGATGACTTATGTTGGAAAGTTCGATTCTTATTGATTTAAAACTGATTAAGCCGTTACCTTGTTCATCCACCATCGTAGCAAAGTTAGAAGCCAAGTACCGTCTTGAAGATGTGCGCATGCTCCCATCGAGATGGCGAGGTCGGTGTTGACGTCACGAAGCAAGAAACCCACGATAAACAAGAGAGCCGACAACTCAGTGCATTTCTGGAAGTTCCTGTTATGAGTTTGGCGGCACACGAGCACGAACCGTTGCACACGATGCGACCAGAAATAGAAAAAAACCTAGTAAATCCTGCTTTGGCTATATCGAAATGCCAAGAGACTCCGAACATTTCTTTCTGTTTAAAACATGTTTTCGTTTTGTACTAAATTAAATAATGTCACAGTTTACTGCTACACCAGTAATGAACAGTACTCATTCTCAGTGTTTCCTCCTTTCTTCCAGTAAACCATGAAAGTATGTTGCACAGGTTTCGTCATTTCTCATTAGTTACAGGAATATTCCTTCTAACCTAATTTATGGGGAGTAAATTACTGAAGAAAAATATATAAACAAAAGAGGAATATTCAAAAATAACTTTCAGTTGAAATCTTATTTCTAATTTCGGTACACTTCCGTTTCTTTAAGGCATTTCTATATCAATTCAATTCTGTATTCTCGAGACCTTTCGAGATACGGAAGGATTCGTTTAATCTAGGGTCAGCGTAACATCAATCGCTTTATAGCACTTCCCAGACCGCGTGGTGTCTACAGCCACCAGTAAAATTCTTCATAAACACGTCTTTTTATGGCCGAACCGCTCATAGGCCTTGCTTTTTTATGTTAGAAGCAGTTTTGGCTGAAAATGCAAAATTAATGAACCCCTTACATACAATTTTCAACATGACAAGTGTTTAGTAACAATACTTATAGGTAAGTTTTACGAGTTCTTGCACAATGTTGAAAGAAGGAAGTTATATATTTCATATTTATTCACCAAAATCACTCGAAGAATTTTAATTAACCCGTTAAAGTCAAAAGATCGCCTAATATTTAATAATTCAGTCCATACCACAAAGAAAACAACACTTCACCTTTACAAAGACCAACTGGTTAATGCAGTTTGATGAAATAATTGATATGTACAATGAGAATCGTACAAAACTTACAAATACGAAATGAAGAGTTATTAACTGCTGAAGCAGGTGGAAGATACAGTTACAATTGAAGCCTGATATTCGGAGTACGCTATAGACTACAGTAAATTTACTTTAGTGAATTTACATGTCTGATATTCTAAATGACATTCATGATTAACGTTAAGAATTTCCTAAAAAAGAAGGAGGGTTTACCATAAAAAGAATCTGCGTACGGCATAAAACATAAACCTCATTAAAATCAAATTTTATTTTAAAAATTGGTATATAATATTTATTTAACGAAACGAGCTACAAGACAACTAATTTAATAACACGGCGCAATATATTTATTTTGTAACATCGAATTTGTATCTGAAATAAATTAGCATCAAGGCCAGTGAGTTTCGATATTCTTATATGAAAAACATGTCAACTCTTGCCTGTCATAGTAAGCTACTACGTTTTCTAAATTATAAGATATACATAAAATTCCTCACGAGTTTTGATTTTAGATTTATGAAAGAGAGAGAGCTACACACCTAGTAAACATAACGTTTTAACACCACTTTCCACGTGCCAATTAAGGAAATCCGCATGAATTAGACTTATCAGCAATTTCTTATCAAAGATCACAAACAGGAGAAATTATTTTCTATCCAAAATCCGAGATATATGTTTTTGAAGTGCAATGTTAAAGTACAGAACAACGTAATTTAAAGCGAATCGCTTCACACGAGTAGAAATCGTCAAATACAAATATAGCAAACACGCGTGATGAAAGGGTCAGTGACATTTAATTACTGGTTCAGTCATAGAAAGGTTCTGAGTTCGATTCGTGGATCCTATGTTAAGTTTGGACGCATATCTGCAGGGGGTCCGGTGAAGGGAGGTGCAGGAGGAGAGCACTGGATGTAAGGTTGGCTCTTGGCAGACACCCGACAGCCGGCGACGTGTGAAGTTCTGGCTAGTGAGAACATCTGACTGCTGATAGCCGCATGTTGTAAGTGGATCACATTTTGTATTGTTAGCAGGTTTGTACTTGGTATTACCTTGCAGGTCCGGATATTATGCCAATAAACGGAGTCGCAACTGATAACGATTTAAGATTAATGGCCATGTTAAGAGAAAAAATTATAATGTTTAGTATTAGGAAAAGGGCACGTGCCTTATCTCTGCCGATTACTGACTGAGCTTAAAATACCGGTACAAATAATAATCTTATTCAAAAGGTAACATATGTAAGATTTGAGGGTTTTCACAGCGGTGAGTATGAAGATTTCTGTCTTTTGGGTTGTTGAGCTGTGTAGTCACTACACAGCGCAACAACCCAAAAGACAGAAATCTTCAACTCTAAGATTGTTTTTGAAATATTTACAGTGTAAATTTTTGTGATACATATTTACGATCGTAATACAAAACCATATCAAAACAAACGTGTGCACATATACGTACATGGAATACACGTATCTATAAAAGCACGATTCTCTATTTTACACACCTCAATGGCCTCAGAAACGTAATAAGAAGCACTTATATATAATACAGCATACAATTTACTTCGTTAAAATGTTCCACATCGGATACTCGTAAGAAGTAGGTTTTATGTCATGTAGGCTACTGATCACTAAACAGAATTTAAATTTTCTCTCTTTCTTCATTGATTAAACAAACGGACATGTTTGCCTGTTGCCATGGGGGATCATCATCATCCCGTATTTTTCGGTATCCAGTACGAAGGGAATGAAGTGTACTGAAACGGTTGAAACTTAAAATTAGATTATTACGCGTTAAGAGTGACAGGAAAATAGCAAGCAGTGAACATTTATATTGTAGCGTGGCTCTACTGTTTCTTACACGACATCCGCATTCTTAGGCAGACATATTTGGGGTTACAGTAACTGAAAACAGTGATTTTAGAAAAGTGACCACAAACCAACACATATTTCTACATGTGTCGTAGGCTATCGTACATTACATTTAGTGATCAGCTTGTAATACAAAGTCAAGGTTCTCTGAATCTATGCTGTTCTGTCAACAATAGTTCCTGTTAAACAAATCAATCTGTACGAAAGAGAGAAAACAGTGTTTAAAACGTATATTTACGTTTTTTGGTGAAATATATGGAAATGTATATAGACTACATTAGATTGCAATTCGCTCGTTTGTTTTGTTAACTAAAAGATAAGTAGATCTAGGTACAAGTCAATGAAATATCTTATGCTAAAAAATAGGCTTATGTCGAAACATATATTGATAAGACATCATAAGGGGAAGACACCCAATCGGAAAGACCATAGCTTTATATATAAAAATATGGCATTCAACTCCTATAGCTGATGCCCAATCTTTCAAACTGTGATACTGACCACTATCTGAGAAACGTTTAAAAAGTGGCATCATGATATAATCCATATGAACAGAATTTCTGTCCAGCGCCGAGGAGTTCTAAATGTGTTTACGTAGCGTTCAGTTGTCAGTCTGAGAGGTTAGAGTGCAAACAATGGTGACATTTTCAAGGGAAATGATTTAGTAACTCGTTTTAAAGAATGCACCCTGTTGCGTGCTGATCGTTAGGTTGGCAGTCACAAGAAGTTTTATGATTATTATCTCAATGTTTGTTAAGATCAGCTACTTGTTTCGACTTTATTTATTAACCGTTAGCTCTTCTCTTAGACAGTGTATGAAAACAAATTTTTGGAAAATATCTTGAATAAATACAAGTTGCAAAGACATTAGTTATCTAAAAATATAAATTAGCATTTTTTATATAGATTTATGTGGTGTCTGCTATAAATTATAAGCTTATTCTGTTTACCACTCAGCCAAAGAAAGGTAGTTGGCAGCCCCTGCATTACTAACGTTATATTCGAGCATCTTCGCGGGCCGACATTCGAAATCCATTGTTATTTAAATAAATATTTTGTCCCAACATGCCCAGCTGTTATGATTTCGTCCGCGAAACAACAGAAGCATGTGAAATCGATTTATATTTTTCTACTTTTCACAAAATTCTCGTCTCACTTCTGCTTTCTCTGCCTGTAATTCTCCCTCTTTGTTGTTGTTGTTGTTGTTGTTGTTGTTCTTATATTTATTTTTCGTTTTCCGTTTTCTACGAATTTATGACTTGATTACGAATTTTTAACCTTTTATAGGTCACTGAACGTTTGTATACGAGTTCCTTTATCGGTCTCATTAGGATCTCAGAATAAAGGGAACAACTTTACTTGAAGATTATCAAAGTACGATTATGTGGTGTGTTTTCTCGCGTTCTTAAATATCATTTACATGAGTTCGACCCCTTGAAGGTGTTAACGCACAATGCAAACAGATCTATTAAAAAACGACTTGACGAGAGGCTATTTCCATTTGTTTCTGCAAACTAGTGCTACAGCAGTAGTATATCTTGTGTAATGAAGAAACAACAATGGTTTATTGCCAAGAGGTTTGCTTTTTATTTGCTATTGTAGACTTATCACCTCCAAATCTTGTCCCAGAGACATGCTGTCCTCAGCTTTTCGAGATTTTACTTGGTCACTACAGGGAAATATCGGGATATTGGCTTAATTAGACCACGACCGATTCCTTCCGTATCCTTTCCAATACAATCATCCTACATAGTCTAGGATAATAACAGCGCTGTTAAATAAGCAACAACGCAGTCATAAGAAAAGAGTGTACAAAGAACTAGTAAAAGTTTTGTGCGCGTACATACATCGAGTTTCGATCCAGAGACTGTTCTAAGTTTGCCAGACGTCTTCGTAAGGCGGGCACACAAAAACAAACATATCCCTCCCTCAAGACAGTTTAGAAAACGGATGTGAGTTACAGAACGCAATTTAAATTATGAGACACTCTAAATAATCTTCAGACTTCGTCAGATGTTTCCAGTTACTTGGAGCCGCGAGAATGCCGATATTTGGTGCGGGCGGATCGCATTACGCAAGCGTGTCCGTCCGCCAGCAGCAGGCCGCGTGTTCCCAATTCCCTCCGAATAGCAGCGAAACCTCACGCTTCGGAACACAATTACGTGCCTCCTAGTTTTCGAGATAAAACGTGGAAGTTCAAACAGAAGTTCCCAAAGATTACAGAAAGCAGCTATTAATACCACACGAAATAGTTTCAGGCACAGACAGCGTGATTCCTCTTATTTCATAGTTGAAGTTACAGCGATTTTCCAGTTACAGTCCTCGTATCAAAATAGTTTGCGCTGTCGTCATGTTGTTATTTTCCATGCATTAAAAAAGTTGCGTATTTTATGGAGATCTGCCGCCATACTAAACCTTATTCAGATCGTACTGTTTGTCCACAACAACGCTTTGTAACCAAATAAATTCACATCCATGAGTGAGTTCTTTTAACTATGCTTTATCAGCCGATTTGCAGTATATTTTCGAGTGATGTATAAGGGACAACTGACAAGAAGAAACAGCAGTGACATTTTAAATGTAACGTTGTTTTTATTGATTTATTTAGCGACGCTGTCTCATGTGGAGTGGTTGAACGCATATGAATAGTACGTACCTAAAGTGACTGAGGAAAACCACAAAACCCACAGGAGAGCCACTGCCTCAATTGAAATCGGATACAAGTAGAACTAAAGTCACGTGACTGCTCAAACACGTAACCTGCGCGGTAGCTCAGGCTATTTCTTGTATTTTAAATGAGGCAGTTTATTTCGCCCGTTTTTGTGTCGATAATTGCAAGAAATGGAATTAATTAAAGCCGTTAACTGTTTTTTAAAGCGTTATATAGAATGAGATAACGGCGACTGATCACGCTTCCTTCACGGTATCTGTGGCCACAAGTGATGTACCTGCTTCTTACAGAACAGTGGCTGGAAATCAGCAAAGTAAATACAATAATTAAGACAGTGAATATCTAATAATTTAGTTGAATAGATTCTGTACTTCATTTCAGGTCTCCACTATAGGATTTTAACCAACTCAGCCCTATAATCATTCGCCCTACCTAGGCTAAGCTTAATGTAAATCTTCAAATATGTTACCCAAAACCCATCTAAGTCCGTCTTTCTTTTATTCGAGCGCAAATGAAGCCCTGACTAATGTACCAGTAATACTTTAATGCATGAATGCCAGTATCATTGTATTAATTATTTAACGCCACTCTCAGAACACGCATTTGCTTTGTTATTTGAGAAACGGTACAAAGATATCGGATGTCAAGTTTTTGGCGTTATCCCTAACTGTTTCTGGCATTAGACAAATTTAAGTCGATGAGATTTATTAACGGAACCCGACTGTATCACGAACATAAGATGGGCGCGAAGTTTTTGCTTGTTGAAAAATGAAATGCCTGAGGAAACCGAAACTATTCTTTATAACGTCTAACTGATATAATCTGAACCAGGCCCGAACAATTTATGCTCCCAGGCTCAGACCGGCCCTCGGGCCGTGTGGGACCGAGACCCGAGAGACGGACTCGGGCCCTTGCAGACTTCTATATTAGTTGTCACAATGATAGTGAACGAAATACACTCAGCAACTAAATTTTTAGTTGAATGACCTATTCGGTTGTCCCCAAACTTCTTTCCTATCTGGTATTGCAGGTTCGTACATATGATGTGTGTGTCTGCTACGAAATCACATGTGGTTTAATGTGTAAATCCACATTGCCCTTTGGCTGTATACAATACAAAACACGTGGTGTAATTCTTACCATAGGATTTATGGTACAGTGCTATCCTCAGAGAAAATTTACCTTCATTCAACGTTCTTGATAATCACGTACATATCCCGCTACATTCTCAACTTGCCTTACCACCCAATGGTCAGTCGTTAAAAAAATTAAAAATATAGCATGAGCTGTGCAAAATTAAATTCTTTGTGCTAGTATAAAACACTGACGCATACTGTGAAGGTCATATCAGTTGAGAGGAATGTAAACAAGCGGATGAAACAAGTTGCAGGTCCAGGGGTTCTCATCACCTGTGCTGGGAACAGTCTTGTAGCGACAGGTCTTCAGCAAAGAAAATTCATACCCCACTAAAACAAAACAAAAATCCTAACTTTAAATTACTTGAATCGAATACTTGTGTTTTGAGGAGCAACATTTATATTTTGGTTTGAAATTATTTTACATATTTAAGTGATATTATTTAAAACTTTTGCGTCACCCGAAGACACTTCTGAGCATTCAACGGTATTTCGCCACTTCACACAGGAAGCTCTGAGACAGACAGATAAACAGACAGATAGACAGACAGAAGAAGCCATTATTTATAGTCAACATATTAATCACTACATAAGTCGAATCGAGTTTGTCGATGTCTTCTTGTAATCTATTTCTGTGTTGTCTTTCGAAAGCAAATGCTTTGCGATAAACCGATTTCACCCGTTCTCCAATACCTACCAACGTACCATAAAAGACTTTTATAAATAAATAATGATGAATCCTAACAAGTCACAGGACGCAATCCGTGAAAGCTGACAAATACTTTTATATCTTAATCAATGTACCTGACCACAACAAGAACAGATAAAAATTTGTGTTATTAGCCGGTCTTCCAGAGGTGAATTTCTGATAAAACTGTGTAGATCTGCTGATGGTATTTGGCTCAATGTGACCTATAATCACATCATCCTGACACCTAAGAGTAACGTTTTGACGATCAAGTACATACATGAATGGTGCAGCATAACATCTTAGTTTGTGTACACACAATCTTATTGCGACACAAACACCTATGACGTAAAGTCACGTTGACAAAGAACAGTGACTAGTTCCGACGCAAGGCCGACCATGACAACGAACAGAGAGCAAATTAGTAAAATTAGTATCCGAATGTGCAGCCGCACGTGTTATTTGTAAGAATGAGTGACGCCAAATTCGTTTAAATGCTGAAGTCAATATAGAGACTAACACAAATTATAGATAAACCAGAAAACTGATTTTCTTATCACGAATGACCAGAAAATCTGAAGTAGTACTTAAACACTTTTTAAAAGTGTAACAGAACAGCATACAAAAATCAATATTTATCCTTTCTTAATTACAGAAGCTATAAAGCGTCAACACGTAAATATAGTACGTATGTTTTAGCTGAGTTGTATTGAAGTACATGTACACAGGAGGCCATGCATAAGTGAAGTCTTATTTCAAAGCACAGTTCCCACAAAGAAGCATATAAAGTTAAAATCAAGTAATGTTGTATGAAAGTTAATGCAATTACGTATCTTTGCTTAACTAAATAACTGGGTACGATTTAATATGCCGCAATCTGAAATCTGATCTCAAATCGAGGTCATAATAAGTGCGCTGCATTCTTTAAAATAACATCAAATGATCAGCATACGGTGCTAACGGTTATAACAACAAACACGTTCTTAAATATTACAAAACCCAACACCTCTTAACAACAAATGATCACCAGCCAACGAGCATTGCTTATTTTAGAGACAGTGATGTAAGTTTGTTTCGTATTTCTTAGCATAATTTCCATTTGTAATCATTACCACCTTACAACTTATGTACATCCTCAAACGTCGAAAAGTCTTCATGGCTGCAATTTGTAACAAATGCAACATTTCATTTCTTCATACCAACTTTCATATGATCTTGTGATTAATCGGTTTCCAACATGAAACGGTGAGTAAATAAAACATTATTTTAACAAGAAAGTCTTACAAACGTTGCATAAGCTTATTATGGCGCCCGTATTTCTCCCATCTCAGAAATTTACATAACTACAATGTTAGCACTATAAAAGGATGTATCCGTATAATGATATATATTTTATATGTTACGATGCGTTGCAGAACACAGAACATGTTACGGGGACCATCCTTCTAGGACTTACTCTCAGGCGACATGAATGCAGGTAATTAGGACAATGAGACTGTCCACTTCTCCTAAAATCAAATACACTTCTCATTAAATAGTCTACTCAACAAGAAAACACATTTTTCAGATAGTATCCATACGTGTCAATTAGTTATTTTTGATTAAATTTGTGTTTTGATGTTACTGGCCATTTAGAAGCTTCATGAAAAGTGTCATTGGGCATTTCAGCTTAAACTTCAAACACGATAATTAGACACGAAAACACAAACATCAGCAAGAACACGGAACAATGATTTATTATTTTCTATTATCGTAAACGGCGAAATAAATTATTAATACATACAGTAAGAAGAGGACAAATGTAATCTTTATTTTAAATAATATTTATCCCAAGAAGGTTACTTGCGGTTTGAGTTTAGAGCCATTGATGATGTCTTGTGCCCTTTTTTCACACATGTTAGCTGCGAGACCGTGCACCCAAAATTTCGTTCGGATATTTCACCTTCCAGCGGACGTAATGGATATGCATGTAATTTAGTACGGGCAAATTTAATGTTGGCCTTCATTGGCTCACTGTAACTTGTACTGAATCACCATATTCGGCCCGAATACTGCGTAAAATAGGTGTAAGCCTGCCTACTTAAAATGCCACTCAAATCTTCTTGCAGTGCAGTGTACTGTACAGAGCTCTTTTCGCATGATGCACAATGAGAAGGCGTTTAAAAAGCTGTGATCAAAATCATTCTTTCATATCATTCAGTAATTGTGTATTCTTTGCATAAAGATCGACTTATGCAAGATGGCTGGTCCAGTCTGTTCGTCTTGACCTCACTCTCCACGTTTTATCTCCGAGATTTTACGAACGAATTGATATTAAATTTTGTATTGCAAGTCTAAAGCAAGAGTTGTCGAGCGAATTTAATTTTGCTTCGTATCGCAAGACCCTTTCTACGCAAAACGTTCACATTAAATCTTCAAAAACGGATAACGCAAAGATTAGTGAGCCAATTACAACAACACTGTAGATGTCATTCAGGTCTTTCAAATGTTATTTCAAATATTTTTCTGCGCGGAGAACATTTAACGAAATACAAAGGCTTTATGTTTCGTGATGCACTTAGTGCGAACTGCTTTGCAAAGATGGCTTTGTGTTAGTAATAAACAAACCTAAGGGTGAGTGACGTTTGAAGAATGGTAAACAACACATTTTGAAAATGTATATACTCCATTGTATGTCAATTTGTACAGTTATTGTTGTTCTGTTGCCAGAAAATAGGTGAAGGGACTTGTCTGGATATGAGATGAGACACAACAGCCTCTTCGCTCTCAGGCGCCTGCCCAGGTTCTCGAGTTCCGAGGACCTCCATCACTTGCGACCAAGTTTCATGAAGGTGAGTACTGCTTCTTTGTCTGGGAATGCCCAGTCACACCTTCACACAAAGCAGCGTCTTCACTACTGGAGTTCTTGTATCTGGACTACATTTGGTGTGGAGAAATTGCTGTTACTAACATTTACGTTAAGTCAGATTAAGTTTAGGTTTGCTTTGTTTACTGTATTGGGCCGTTATACCCATTAACTATTCTGTATCTTTAACTTTATTCTCTTGGATTCCGCATTTTGGAACTGCGTAGTGCCACGAACATCCCATTGTAGTTCGTATTTTTCCATTGCACAGAGGTAAACTGCAGGATCATTGTCCTGTTGTAAATGAATATAATTGTCACATCGCTTCGAAATTCCTTGCAATTACCATGTTTATGACTCTCCATTCCCGTTCTTGACTTCGTGTTATTCCATTCTTCTAGATGTTACGGTAAATATTTATCTCGCATATAATGTTTTTCTACGTATTTTATCCGAGGTTTATCATGTTAGTTCCTTACCCATCAGTTTGCCCCATAATGTTGGTTCTGTGGTTTTATATTGTCCTTGTTTCCCTGCTATATGAAGTTCCATACACCATCTGAGCAAGTTCAATGAGCGGTTAACAATCTAGAATTATTCGGGACGTACCCGACTGTGTCTTTGATAGCATCTGAGCAAGTTCAATGAGCGGTTAACGATCTAGAATTATTCGGGACGTACCCGATTGTGTCTCTGACAGGGTACCGGCTATCGTCACTGAGTTTTGAACTGATTCTTCCTCTCTCCCCTTGAGAATATTCGTAATAGCACAAACATAACACGGCCGCCTATTTCAAAATAATTAACCACAAAACCTCTCATAATTATCCTTCCATCTACGCCTAGTCTTCCAAGTGATCTCTTCACCATAGGTTTTTGGACAAAAATTTTATACGCATTTCTCATATCATGCGTTCGAGATGTCAATCCAATTTCATCCTGTAGGCCGGAGTGATCTACGACTTCGTAAAATAATCTATAATAAACTAAATTTTCATGTTGCAGTAGACGAAGGCTAAGTTCCATAGTGGCCACAGAATTACTTACCGAATGTCTAGATCATGTGGAAAATATATGAAATGTAATGATATTAAGGCAGAGACAAAATGTTACAAGAATTTTCTTATTAATTATTTCTGAAGTTCGAATAGTGCTCATTGCCTTCCGCTACGGTGGAATTTTAAATGCCTGGAAACAATCCAACCACGACTACAAAGTGTATATATAAATCATAAAGTATAGATTTCAAAAGGGCACCGACCTAAAGCCATAGGAGATTCCCACTGTATTATACTTAGTGTTAAATAGCATGTAAACTTACAATCCGAGTTTTATCGAGAAGAAATAACTCGAAATAGAAAACACGAGTGTAATTTTTTTTAAAAAGTGAAACTATCAAGGTATTTCAAACTTTTGGGATATAAACTAGATTGTCAAATCCGTACTACACATTATTGTCCTTATTCGATTAATTTTGATCAATTTTAGGGACATGAAGTAATGAAAAGCAGTTAAAAAACAATAAGTATAATGATAAGCGACAATTTCTTCCATCTTTAGCGAGGGCCAACTGCAAGAATGAAACCAGGGGTTCTCCATTCGCTGACCGCCGACGTGTTTGACTGTATTACCCCGTTTGATGAAATATAGTTACACGGTGTCAGAAAACAGATCTTGTCACATTCTTCATTGTCTGACACCAAACCCCTCTGTGAGCAGCTGCACAGCTCAGTAAAGAACACGAAGTGAAGAACTAGGACGTATCTTACTGACGAACGCTCGCAAATAGCAACAGAAATGAAAACCTGATCTGAAAGAATTCCAAAGCAAAAAGCGATGCCAACTCTAACACTTATTACTCATTTACTTTCATAAAATTAATGAATGGAATGTGAAATTGTTCCTAATTGTACTTATTTATGCCCATCATCAAGGCGACGAGGGCCACCCTGATGATGGAGGCAGGAAATATCTTAAAAAGCTTACTACACTTTTACCAGTCTACACGGCTCAAAAACCCAGAAGACAGCCATCTTCATATTTTCCGCTGTCAGAATGCGAAATCTCATTCAACCTCTGGCTTAAATAAATAAATCCGTGGCGTAACAGCTCCAGTGAGCCAAAGCCGACTAGCTTGACTGCTGGCCTCACGTTCACATGCCTAAGCAGAGGTGAATTAACCCCTGGCTTAGATTATGGAAACGAATAATCAGCCATTTATTCCATTTGAGTTTCTCGTCATGCAGATCAGCCGGCTACAAAAGTATTTTCATTTGTAACAGTTCTGAAATTTATGAAAGCTGCTCAAGACACACTTTACTAGACCTCAGAAGAAACTAAGACGGCACACACAAGAATCGATAAACGATACAAAAGGGATAAAGGCATTTGACACTCAAAACAACTTCTTGACTACCGACCAGTTAGAAGACGAAGACGTGGGCAACAACGAAAGAGGCTATTAGATGGTTAAAATCACATCTGAAGCTTCGGTCACTATCAGATTGATTACATTGTGCAACATACAAGATGACAGCCAGCTTCTTATGTTTTGTTTGAGGACAGGGTGCTGAGGAAATTATTTGGATGTAACTGAGAGAAAGTAACAGGAGGTTGGGAAAAACTGCAGAATATCGAGCTTTAGAAATTATTACATTGTAATATCACTCGGATGGCCTAGGCGTATTTGCGAGTATAAACGAACTAAAGAGGAAGGTGTGAACTGGGTTGTTCAGGTTCTGGGCTCCTTTAAATACGACAGTACATATTTTCATTCCATAAAAGACGCGGAGTAACTCTTCAGTTGTCGAGAACTCTGTTCCACGGAGTTCGTTAGTGTAAGTTGCATCGATTTCAGAGTTATGTGGATGTACGTCACATGTTATTGTGAAAAGAAATCAAGACTTGTAGTGGAGGAGTCTTCAGGGTATCGCTTCGTCCTGTGGATGTGTCTTTTTCCGCTTTGCTGCCGCGGTTGTAGAGTTTCGACAGCAAAGTGGAAGAGGCCGATTCACAGTATACGAATTTCCAGCTCTGCTCAAGACCAAGCAACTCGACACAGGAAGTGTTTTGGTTAAGTGATGCTGTCACCTCACGAGTTAGTGAGTCCGCCATGGCGTTTACTGCACAGAAACATCTTCCTCGCCATAAATCGTGAATTTTCCCTTTTAAGCTTTGCCTTTTAACTTTCACTCGCCTGCGCCGAAAGACACCAAGAATACCCCCAACACCTGAAACCCTATGAAATTATTTCTCTTCACGCGCAAATTCGGCGTTTATTTACTGACATTTCTTATATTTTGCAAGCACCACAGCATTAGAGAGCGGTCAATATGAGTCAATTTCCGTAGAAACGAACACCAGTCACATTTGGATACATTTCAATATATAAAGACGCGATCAATCTGACTATGCCCTCTCTTAATAAGTCCAATTGTATTTATTAATGGTGGGAAGCGGGCATATTTTAATTTTGATGAATTTATTGACTTGGTCCAATTTTATACTCCAAATCTATTATCGATACTAATTTCATGTGAACTCTCGTCCCAAATCGTCGGTTTGAAAATATCGTCGCTCCGTACTCTTGCATTGAATTCTGATATCAAAATATTCACGTAATTTTTAGCAAATTGATCATGCAAACCCCTAGTAATAAGAAAGTCACCATTTTTACCATAACTCTTATTCTCAGTGGAGGCATACACGTTCAGAAGGATATTAAGCCAGCCTATTAGCAATCTATTACATAGGACATCCTGTCGCTAACTACTACACCCCTTCAGCCGCTAATATGATTCTCTTATATACGAAAACGCCTATATTTAGGTGACAATTATCACTCCAAGTTGGCTGTGGATAAATTCTTGTTCTGTTGTCCAGTGTCAAAACATTTCTTCAACTGTCCTCGGTATTTAGGCGTATGTAAGTGCATTTCATTTGCAGTTACATTAGTAGTAGTCTTATTTTACTCATGATCGATAATTTTCATTCACTTTTAAACGGTCTATTAACTTTAATTAATAAATATTAGTCTCCGAAAACAATGGAAGAGTAAACATACAACCAGTCACAGAATACAGAAAATTCAGTCCCGTAATATATAGTGTTTTCGATAATATGCATTAATAAAAGTATTAATAATTACGAGAAAGAATATGGCTGTCTTCTGAGTTGTTACGCTGTGTAGTCTGGTAGAAGTTTACAGGCATTTCAGAGGTCCTTGCTGCCTCCATCATCAGGGCACTCGTCGCCCTGATGATGGTGGAAGTAAGACTCTCAGAAACGCTGGTAAACTTCTACCAGACTACACAGCGCAACAACCCTGAAGACAGCCATCTTCAGACTTCGCCGTGAAAACCTCAAATCCTACTTAATTATTAGAAAACTCACCGACGTCGATCAGCAACGTCACTTCATTGGCGCAATTTTACTTTCGTCTGTGCGTAGGTTAACTTCATATCTTTGCAATGTGTGCATAACTCTTCTAGAATTTTAATTTTATCGTGTTGGGTGCCAAATGGTTAGATGATTATGAACGATAAGTTGGGAAATATGTGGAAGCACGAAATCTTGGATTGCTATCCGACCATTTTAAGGATGTGTTAAGAAACAGCGACCTCATCCAAAATAACCCATTTCTAGGCAGATATTCGAACCGGTATTAAACAGTCATTAGGATTATACAGAGACGGTCGGTGAAATTCCTTTCTGTAAATGAAAAATTCTTTTTGGGTCACCCTGATTCACGTATCGCAAGCTCTATAAATCTGCGAGAGTTTCTGGCGTTGGTTTTTTTTAGTTCCTAATTTTATACGGAACATGTACATTACAAATCCGACATCCGGCCAGCTGGCTGCTAACAGTGTCTAAACTGGAGAGAAGATGTACTTTTTTTACATTAAAATAATTTTTTGCCTACAAAAATAATTACGCCCACACGCGATGTTTTCAGGACGGCTAATAGAGTCAGATCCAACATATAAT